TGGTTGAAGAAAGGGCCTGATAGAGTTCCTAAGAACATGTCCACCAACTCCCTTTCAGACAGAGGGGGTTATACTCTCCCAGCTAGATCCCTCCATTTCTATGCGTAATCTTTGAAACCCTCATTTGAATCCATAGCCATACTCTGAAGTTGAGTACGGGTAGGCGCCAAATCTGCATTATACTGGTATTGCTTATAGAAAGTTGCGGCAAGATCTTCCTAGTTATGGACGTCAGCCCTTTCCAATTGGTAAAACCAATCGAGTTGTGTTCCAGATAGGCTATCTTGGAAAAAATGCACCCACAAGTCTTTTTCGGTGGAGTGCGGCTGGATCTTTCTCACATATGATCGGAGGTGCATCTTAGGACATGACACCCCCATCATATTTTGCAAACAACGACACTTTGAACTTCGGTGGGATCACAATTCCCGACACTAGTCCCAATTCTTCAAAGTCCAGACATGGTACCCTTTATATTTCCATAGAGTTCAAATGCTCTTCAAGATGTCTGTACTTATCATCCGCTGGAGGATATTGTTCCTCGGATTAGTCTTCCTCTTCTTCCTCCTCCTCAGATTCTGACGGAACCGTTGTTTCCTTTCCTTTTCCTTATCCTTCATTAGATGTTGTTGCGAAATTCAAGGTTCTTCTAGTTTTTCCTTGAAACCTTCTCCCCATGATTACAACATCGATCGGTTTCTTCTCTTTCTTCTTCTTCTCTTTGGCCAACAGAGTCTTCAACTCCTCTTGTCCTTTGACCAGGGTTGTGAGTAACTGTTGAAACTGCATGTTTTGAACTTGAATATCTTTGACTGTCTGTTCGAGATCCATCTTACTGAAATAAATAGTAGAGAGATGAGTAAACTCGTTGCAAAGGACATGTTTATGTTATGATGAACGATATACGCATATGTAATGTTTTCAAGGATTTTAAAAGATTCAAGTTCGTTTTAGACAAAAAGAAACACACGTTATATTAATAAGATAAAGTTTGAGTACATCAATGCCCCTTGGGCTAAATAATAAAAAACTCTAAGATAAAAAATTAGTGTGCATCCTCTTTGGTGCAATGTAGGCATTTAGAGTCTGCTCCTCATGAAGTGGCCCAGTGAGTTCCAAAACCTTCTTCTCTCTTGCGTAGAATTGGGCTTCGAAAGTATCTCGCTCTCCTTTGAGTTGTATCCAATCCCTTTGTAGTTCTTCAATAGATGTGGGCATGTCAGGATGTAGGATAGTGTATGGAACTTCTCCTTCCTTAACAGTCTCAATAATCACTGGGAGAATGGAAGGATAAGGCATCATAAGACTTTGAGCGTGGGTTCGTACCCACTTGAGGTAAGGCTCAAGAGGTATGGAATTCTTGTGTCCCAAAGTCTTGCTATCCACCTTGTTTAGCATCCTCCAAGCTCGAATTAATCTCTGGCGAAGACCTTGATTGTCGTTGTCATAGTCGAATACCAAGCCTTGAATCAGCATCTCGTGTGGGCCATCCCTTCGGGCATAACCAAACTGTCTTAGAGATAAACATGGGTTGTAGGTGATGCCCCCCCCCCCCCTAATGCCAAGTAGAGCGACATTAGGGAATTCTCCACAACGGTCAACAATGATAACATTCTCTTTGGATCGGGAGCACTAATGAATATCTGAATGTTTGAGCATCATTAACCTTTGTGACCACCTTAATCCTTGCTCATTCTTTAAGACTGATTGGGGAAGATGAGAAATAAACCATCTTTCCAGGAGAGGAGTGCAACACATAAGGACACCTCTTTTCCTCATTGTACGAGTGTGAAAAGAGTGTAGGATATCTCCAAGCAATGTAGGCACCGGATTGCGTGACATGAAGATTTTGACGGTACTCACATCTATGAGTTGGTCAGGATTGGGGAACAAGACCATCCCATAGATAAGAAGAGCCATAATTTCCTCAAAAGCTTGTAAGTCTAAGGAATTCCAACAGCTTTGGGCTTTCTCAAACAGAAACTTTGCTAAGAAGCCTTTGACACCACTCCTAGTTTCCCAATGAGTTGTGACATCAGATGAGTGCAAGTGCAGAGCTTCAGCAATCTCTTCTGGCTTTGGGTCTCTTTTCGTACCGTTGAAAGGTAGTTGATTGAGAATAGGAATCCTCAAGAGTTGAGATAATTCCTCCAAAGTGGGCACAAGCTGATAGTCGGGAAATGTGAAGCAATAGTGCAAAGGATCAAAGAACTGGAAGAGAACCTTCATCATATCCTTATGTGTGTTAAAGGTGACCAATTTGAGTAGACGTCCATGCCTCTCGGTGAATGGAGAGTTCTCAGGGATCCTTGAAGCCAGCTCCTTAAGTTGTGGAGGAATTCTTGCAAGGTTGACTTGGATAGTTTTCCTGCGAAGTGAATCCATATCCTACAAAACAAGAACAAAGATGAATCTCCAAAATCCTTGAAATGGTTAGTGAATGCATATGATGTTCATGATGTCCATGATGTTATGTATAAGTATGCATATACAAGAAAAACAAACAAGTTCTTAGTTTAGGCTTGCATGGGGTTTTATAGGTAAGTACCCTCTTGAAGTTTAGTTGGCTTAAACCTGTCCTAGTAATAGTAACCGGGTTCTAAGGAACTCAATATCACCGGATTATTTCCTTGGTCATTATTTCAGCTCAAGCCTCTTTGATGGCGACCGAAATATCCCAAGAAACCAACCCTCAATGAGTGTAGTATCGAGTATCTACCAACTTCGAACTGCACCAAAGTCGGTCATCTCACTACATCCTAAAGGCCAAGTTGGTCAAGTAAAGGGTTCTAGAAGTTCATTAGTGCTTCATGACATCACTCAGCGGCCCCGTATTCTCTTTGATTGACTCAAAGGCTACCGGTACAAATATGTCACACTAACATAGCTATTGCTTAGACCATGTCGGTATACCCCGCACAGTTTCCACAATGTATTGCTATTTACCTATAATGCTTCCCCAAATCCGGGTGGAGGATTCAAACCCAAACAAAGAACCATAATGTAAAGCAAACAAGTCAAACAATGTAAGCAAATAAATGTGATATAGCCCTAAGGTAACCCCACTTTTATAATTTTCTCCAGAAGATTCGCCAGTTCTGTGATACGGTGGGAGAACTGACTTGAGGGTTTTGCGTTTTATCGCAAATGTTGCGGTTAGCAAGAGTCGCCACCGACTTTTCTTTTATCCAAAAGGAAAGGTGAAAAAGCACAGGAAAGACCTTTGAGATGTTTTCTTGAGTTCGGGGGGGTAGATTATGAAAAGGGAAGTTATTAGCACCCTTTTCATCCATGGTTTTCCATGGGCTCTTAGTTACTTTCTAGATCACTTGCTTTTGTTGTTTGAAAATGTGTTTGGTATGGTTTTGAAAGTATTTTGTAAAATAGGTCATTGTTTAGGCAATCTTTGTAATGATTCTCGTTCGTAAGAATGTATACAAAGATGTTTTTCCTTTTGAAAATGTTTTCAATGTTTGTAAAATATTTGGAAATGTGTGTGTTTGTTTTTGAAAATAGCAAGGGTGGTTGTTTGGAAATAGAGCAAGTAACTAGAAGCAATCTACTTACTCAAATTCTTTCTTATGCATTTTCTATTCCTTTGACACTGTTGTATTACCATTGATTTGGTAAGCAACCCTATCTTTGGAAGTAAACGGGACGGGCGTGGGTCATCGTATAACCATGATTAGCAATATTGCAAATTATCTTAGCACTTTGAGGGACCAAGATCATTTTGTAAGGCAACTTAGAATAGCGCCATCGAGGGATTATGATCTTATATTTGTTTGTTTTGCCAAGATACTTCGAATGCGTAATATGGCCATTTTTGTATAACGCAACCAAGTGGAGAAACCCTAAGGATGCTTGTGTGTAAGTGTGTTATTTTCATGCTTTGATTTTGTCTTGGATTTAGGGTTTTCTATTTGATTTGTTTTTATCTTGCCACACAAACCTTAATTACTAACATGGCATGTAAAGCGGTAAATTGCGTAATGTAAAGGTTACTAAGCTATTACAACAATTTATGGGAGGGGGAATACAAATTTGAATGGGGATTTGCAAGAATGTAAATCTAAATAAATTATTACAACCAAATCGAATTTGTACGAATATTGAAATAAACAAATACAATATTTAAGTATGCAATATTATGTATATGCAAGAAAAGATTTTGTTTTATTTTTTATGTGAAAAGGAATTTTAACCTAATCCTAAAAGATATAAGGAAAAGAAATTAATTCTTGAATAAAAAAACAAAGTTAACCCTAATTTCTAGTTTAAAAGAAAATAAAGTTCTTATGTATTATTTTTTGTGTATTTTCTGTACTAAAAATAATAAATAATATTGTATGAAAATATTTAGTTTTTATATGTTAAAATAAATATTTACAAATATATATAAAAATATAAAAGAAAAGATAAGAATATATCTAAATTTATTTTTACAAATTTATTTAAGAAAGATAGTTAGTATATAGGGTTAATACCTATTTTCACCCCTGACATATGGGGTGTATTTGAAAAACCCCCCTGCCAAAAAAAAAGTTCCAATTGTTACCTTGACAAATTTTAAAAGTTTCAGTTTTTACCTTGAGGATGCCACATCACCTAAAAGGCTGATGTGGCTTATATTTTTGTTATATTTTTATTATTATTTTAATGACATGGCTTGATTAGTTGTCATTTTTAATTAATTTTTAATTTGTAATTAGATATGGCATTTATATTAATATTTTATTAATTGAGTGTTAATTCAAAGTTAAAAAATTTTTGTCCTTCAACAGGAATCGAACCATGGACATACTGTCTGCAGTGAACGCTTCTTACCACTAGACCAATGCATTTTCTTTGTTACATATATGCATCAATAAATATTCATATCATTAACTACCAATTTCGTCAAATGCATCAACTCAACCAACCCATTACACTTCAATCTCATCATTTCTCATTTTTGTCGTCAAGGTTTCCCCTTTCATGCTCTTGAATCCTTCTCCTTTATGCACACCAATGTTGTTTCCTTAGATACATACGCTTTGTGTACCACTTTGACCGCTTCATCTAAACTCCAACACTTCAATTTTGGAAAACGGATACATGCCCACGTGACCAAATCTGGTTTCTTTTCTAGTGTCTTTGTCGCTTCTGCTCTTATTCATTATTACTCTAAATCCATTAATGTGAAAGATGCAGCTCTCGTGTTTGATGAAATTCCTGACAAGAATACTGTCTGTGCAAATGCACTTTTGTCTGGTTATTCTCAGGCTGGGCTATGGATTAAGGGAGTCCAATTGGTTAGGAAGATGCCTGTGTTGAAATTGAAGTATGATCACTTTACGTGCTTGCACTGGATTATCGTTTGTTGAAATGGGTAGACAGCTGCATAGTCTTTTGCTCCGTACTATGCCTGATATAGAGAGTGATGTGTTTATGCAGAGTGCCTTGGTTCAGATGTATGGAAAATGTGGAATGGTAGAGAAGGCTAGGCTGGTTTTCAAGTTGGATGGAATGGAGATTCAAAATGAAACAACTAGTGACCTTGTGTTATGGACTTCGATGCTTGGTGTGTATGGTAAAAATGGGCGTTATAAGGAAGTGATTGATTTGTATAGGGAAATGTTGCATGAAGGAATCAAACCTGATGGAATCATTTAATATGTTAATGATATCAATATTTATTGATGCATATATGTAACAAAGAAAATGCATTGGTCTAGTGGTAAGAAGTGTTCACTGCAGACAGTATGTCCGTGGTTCGATTCCTGTTGAAGGACAAAAAAAATTTAACTTTGAATTAACACTCAATTAATAAAATATTAATATAAATGCCATATGGAATTACAAATTAAAAATTAATTAAAAATGACAACTAATCAAGCCATGTCATTAAGATAATAATAAAAATATAACAAAAATATAAGCCACATCAGCCTTTTAGGTGATGTGGCATCCTCAAGGTAAAAACTGAAACTTTTAAAATTTGTCAAGGTAACAATTGGAACTTTTTTTTTGGCATGGGGGGGTTTTCAAATACACCCCATATGTCAGGGGTGAAAATAGGTATTAACCCTAGTATATATTGAAGATAAAATATATTTTTTATGTAAAAAATAAAAATAAAATAAAATAAAAATGCAATATTATCATATTTATATTCTTCATGATTTTTATGTATTAAAGAAAATATTTAATAAACAAAAATGAAAACAAAAATAAATAAATAAAATATATGAAAATAGTTAGGCCAGGGGGTATCCTTAGCAATCAAGTGGTGAATGTTAGAAAAAAAACATAAGGCCCAGCGTGGAGGCCCAAACCTGTAAAACACCAAAAGCTGAAAATGGAAAAATGTGGAAAAAAAACAAAAGGTAGCCCCAAGGTTTGAACCCAGGACCTGGGCCTCACCAGCGCGCTACCTTGCCATTGGGGTGGCTATACATCCGTTGATTTATGTGATACAAAAACAACATAACACAAACAAAGCCCTTGCCCTGTACTTCATCTTCATCCTCAAGCTGGCCAGAAGCTCTGTAACTTTCTCATCTCTCAATAAAAATGGAAACTGATAACATGAATGTTGTAGCATTTTGTCTCACGATTCTAACCATGTAAATCATATAAGCTAACAATCAAAGATCAAAAATAATTTTAAAAGCCCTAAATTTAAACCTAATTTTTATAGGAATTTAAACTTCAAAATTCTCCCAACTCAGGCCAAATAAATGCAAGATATATATATGTACAGCTTCATAGCAATGAGGTCTACATTGTTTATTCACAAATCGTGGCCAGTGGATGCCTGTATGAAGAGATAGAAGTTGAGATTTTTACCTCTTTCAGTTGAAATCGTGAATGGAGTTTGAGTGAGTTTTATGAAGGCCTGATGATTTCTTGAGCTTGCTTGAACCATCCTGAGTGTGTTCCAATCCTTGCCTTGCTTTGGAAGTGCCTGAAACTCTCTATCCAAGTCAACCTGCAAGCTTTGAAAACAAAAATGGAAGATGATGGAGAAGGAGTTACAGTTCAAGGATGATGGTATGGATCACTTAGATATCAAGTAGGTAAAGTGTTTTGATGGTTAAAACTTGAAACGCACGAGCCAAATGATGGATTGCTATGCTTATGCAAAAACTTTAAGTTTTGACAGTTTTCTGGTGAAAGGGAGTGTTTTAGTGTTTCAGGCCCTTAGCAGTCGTGTTTCTAGTTGTAATGTGTTTTTATATTAGTATAGAAAAGATTTTAAGTCATCTCCTCAACAGATTTGTGAGCCCTAGCCTTTTTGCACACTTTCTTGCTTTTGAAGCAAAGTGAAGAGACAAGTCTTCACATGCTTGTACTGGCTTACTTAGGGTTGGTATAAGCTTTGTACAATTTTCCTTAGATCTGTAGTACTTGTGTGTGCAGAGAAGACAGGTCCAATGCTCAAGATTTGTAAAGTTGCAAAAGTGAAGCTTTTTCAAAATGGCAATGGCCACTTTATGCCATTTATGGAATTACAACTTAGACAAAGGCTATTGATCTTAAATTAAAGCTTTGTCAACTGATTAAGCATTAAATTATTAAGTGAGAAACAAGTTTGGGACCTGTAAAGCATGGATTAGGCAGCATAGGTACTGATTTGAAATTTGTTCTTCATGAAATGGCTTGAATTCAAAGTGAGAAATTACCAACTTCCTTTCTTCGATTCTCTCTACTCAAAAATTCTCTTAAGGAGTTCTTGGATATTTTGGAAAGTTTGCAATGTGCTCTATAACTCATATTTGAAATTAATTTCAAGAATCCTCTTGTAACTAGGTTAAAAATTGCCATGAAGTTGGGTCCAAAACCTGCCTAAATTAGGGCAAAATTTCACTAAGTTATCTAGTTCATGAGCATGTATTCATAAAATTATATCTTGAGATCCAAGCATCTTTAAGGAAAAGTGTGTGAAGAAAAGTTGTAGATTTAATGGAGGTACACAACTTTCATGTTGGGAACTTTCCTTTATTCATCTTGTATCATGGTGAAAAAATGGCTTAAAGTTGAGAAAAAACTAAGAAATTTTCTATACTTAGAAAATTTTCTAAGTTAAGAAAATTTCCAATTTTAAAACCTAATCTTCAATCCTTGATTTCTTGATGAAAAAGTTTCACATTTTGACATGTTTTGAGGAATTGTGACCCTTGGCACTTGATTTTGACCAAAAAGTCAAAGTTTGACTTTTCAGTATACAGTTGACTTTTGATCAGTTGACTGCAAATTTCATCTGTCTATCCAATTGATTTGCAATGTTTTGAACCATATAATTAGGTCAAGATGATGAAATTGAATCCTTGGAATCATGATTTAACTCAATTGGTCATTTGCTAGGTCAAAAATCAGAAATTGCCCTTTCTCAGTCAAAACCCTAATTTTGACCATTTTGCCCTTTTGATGATTTGATCAAATTTCTTGAGGAATTGTGATCCAAATTTAATCACATGATAAATATGAGTCTAGAATGTTGATGTGGATCAAAATTTATGATGTTTGACTATAAATTGGCCATGGTTGACTTTTTCCCCGATACAGTTGATTTTTAGGTCAACTGTTCAATTGACTGATCAAAAATGTGATTCAAGGTTTGAAACTTGTCATGAGTAATCTTAGGGGTTCATAATGATGTTTGAAAGTAATATGAATCAATGATAGTCCAAGAATCCTTGTGCAAACTCAAACCCTAATTTTGGGTCAACAGTGTAAGATGAGATGTCTTGAGCTGACCAAACCCTAATCTAGTCTTGAGTCAAAGAGATCTTGTGAGAAAAGTCTTGATAAATAAGAGGGAAAATTTTGGGGTACAACAAGTACTAATACAATGCTGACCTGGCACCAACTCGAGTGCAATTGAAGAATATGTCCATGGGCTCAAGAGAAGTGTTCAAGGAATATGCTCAGAAATGGAGGGATCTAGCTGACATAGTACAACCTCCTCTGAATGATCGGGAAATGGTAGACATGTTCATGGGCACTCTGACAGACCCGTTCTTTAATCTTCTGATTGGGAGTTCTTCATCCGGTTTTACAAAGATGTTTCTAACTGGGGAAAGGATCGAAAATAGTATCAAAGGTGGGAAGATTCCAATGGCTGCATCCTCTAATGCTGAAAGGAAGCCATTTGGTGGTAAAAAATAAACTAATGTTGTCTATGGTCAAAGGATCCATAATACAAATAACCATACACATGTTCAATATGTTCAACATCAATGGGGCAATAGGCGTAGGATAAAGTATTAAGAGAGGTAGTACATTGATATTAATATGCCTTTGTCTCAAGCATTACAACAATTGCTAAAAGCGGAGCTGATTACCCCAAAGGATCCTTCTCAAAAACACGATACCTCTTCTCCTAAGTACAATCCTAATGTAAAATGCGCTTACCATTCTGATAGTCCTGGGCACGACACCAACAGCTGTTGGACTTTAAAGAATAAGATTCAGGATTTGATTGACAGCAAGGAGATCGAATTTGACTCTCCTAAGACCCCAGTGTGATCAATGCTCCCATGCCAAATCATGGTCAAAATTGAGAGCGTTTATTTCATTTGAATTATCAGTTGTAATTTCGTTGTTGCTTAAAAACATTTATATTTATGTCAAACTTTGGTTATTCATATTAATGCGTTGCATATGTGTTGTCTTGAATTATTTCATCTGTATTCATTATATTCAAGCTGTGTTTTTTCTTCCTTTTTGTGATATTCAACTCTCGATCAAAAGCTCTAAGCCTTTAGCGGGAGGATGACGAAAATGATACCATAGTCTCTACAGTATGCTTTTGAACAGACCTTGCTGACGATGTACAGGCGTTCTTTCGAATCCTAAACAGTGGATTTATAAGGAAGATAATCCCTAGTCAACCCCTTTGAGCCTAAAAAGTAGGAGTTTTTTCTTTTCACACAAATTAAAACCCTTAATCATAACCTGGAGCAGGGTAGTTTCTCAATTAATTCAGATGTGCATTCAATCGCAAGCTCTACCTTCATACACGACAGATTGTGTAGAAGAGGCTCTCCAAAAGATGGTGATGGTTCCACATAATCAATAAAGCAGGCAGTCATTTTTCAAAAGAAAAGCATGTTAAGTCAAAACCTATGAAGGAGACTTAAGAAAGACTGGGGCATCCCGCTGGCTGTAACCACAAAAGAAATAGCTCGGGAAAAGTCTAGGGATAATTAAATTAAAATAAAATAAAAAGAGATCCCACAAATCCTCAAAAAAAAAGAAAATGTTACAAAAAGGACTGCCTTTTCAAACAAATGTTCAATTCCTGAACCATCACCGGAGTATCAAAGAAAAGACTCAAGAGGGAGTTAAACGCACAATTAACTAAGTATAGGACTAAAGAACATCACGAAGAACGGGTTGGTACAATTAAATTTTAAGCCTTTATCCTTTGTTTCTTAAACCATGAATCAGGCCATGCTACAACCCTTAAAAGTCCTAGCTGAAGCATGGGTTAGTTCGAAAGCATACTATTACAAAAGGTATCCTGGCTCCTATAAGGTTTGCTATAAATCCTGAGTTTATATCACACTCTTACAAAATTTGTTTGTTTTACTAAAAAATGAATTTTCAAACTTCAAGATAGACATAAGCTTTGAATTCTTTAAATGACATTGTTTGCATATGGCTAG